AATACCTTCTTGGTGCTGTGCAGTAAGTAACAGACTGAGGATTTGCTTGAATACACCAAAAAACTCGCTGCCATGCGTCTCTGAATACAAGTCCTATCCATTTGGATATGTTAAAGCACAGTAATCTCATAGTATTCAGTTGTCAAGAATAGGCCTAATATATAAGGGACTCTTCTGAGCTCCTCTGGCTAGCACTCCCCGGGAGTAAGTCCATCTCCACTAGACCAAGGCCGAGCGATTCTCAAGTCTGGGGTAGAGAGAAATCCTTTTCCTGTTTGGGCTCCAGGTCTACAACTTGCTGGTTAAAGCTTTCTCCCTATAGCTGTTGGGCGCGCCACCTAAGCACTCTGTTTCCTCCTTCTGGAGCCCTCTCCTTGCCAGAGTGTATTCCTGGCCTCACTCCTCTTCTCCTCAGTATGGCTTCTCACTACTCCCTGAAAATTCAGGGATTTTTCTGCCCAGAATCACCCACTCACCTGACTCAGACAGTCGTACGAGTTGCACAGTATGGAAATATCCTTTGCCATAGCATGCGCATCCTTCCTTCCTTCATATGTGACTACGATAGCAGCACTCTTACACCGCTTGGCTTTAGTCAAATGTCCTTCTTTGTCTATGACTTTGAAGAGGAGAAATACGTTCAGAGACTTGAACTTAATTAGTTGCTGTTACAGTCTTCTCCAGAGACAGTTGTTGTAAAACTAGCTGTTTTAAAACTAGTTTTATACTAGCTGTTTTAAATGCTATGCAGTCTCAACAAGACAACCCACTTTAAATCAGAGTCTGTGTTTGCTAGTCATTTAGAAATGGAAATAGCACGATCCACTGACAGATAAGAAATTTTACAGCCTCCATCTTAAGTGGAGTGTAAGCCCTCATCTGTCCTCCATGACTGCTTAGAGGGAGACCAGAGGATACTCCACGTCCCTCTGGTAGCCTGTCAGTCATCTTCACCTTTACAGTAGGCCGAAACAGGATCCCCTTGGATGGTCCCAGAGAACCTCTTATCATTTCACAGAGCATCCGCAGCAAGACTGAACCCGGCTGCTGGAACCCTCCCCTCCTTTTATCTCCTTCCAAAAAGGGCTTCTGAGAATAACTCTAAAACCAGCAGGAGCTTCAGACCATGGCTCTCTCCAACAACTGGTCATGGGATGCACATAAAACTCTAGCGGCAGGCATCTCACAGGTTCCAAAGCAACCCGCTGAACAGAGACATGCACACAAAGCCAGCTGCAAACTACACCAAAGGCCAGGTTTGGCCCAGAGGCCGTGTGGGGAGCAATCGCAGCTCAGTGAATGGTTCTGGGTACTCTATGGCTCGCCAACTCCAACAGCCTAGATTTCATGGTCATCACTCTTAGATCGTCAAAGAAAACAATTTTCACTGACACAATATATAGGAATCCAGAAAAAAGAGGTTTGGGTCTTTTCCCCCTTTCTTTCCAAACAGCAACCTTTCAACATAGAAATTTTGGCCTGAAACGTAGATTACTTGACTACTATTTGGTTAGTAGAGAATTTTAAATGTGTGTGTGTGTCTGTGTGTGTGTGTGTGTATGTGTGTGTGTGTCTGTCTGTCTGTCTTCCCCATTTTAAAGCAGAACCTTTTAGGTTTTTTTCTTTTTTTCTTTTTTTTTAAGGTAGTTTCATGGTGGTGATTTACATCTTTAATCCTAGCAGAAGCAGGTGGATCTCTGAGTCTGAGGCCAGCCTGGCCTATAGAATTGAGTTCCAGGATAGGCAGGACTATACAGAGAAATTCTGTCTCAAAGAGGCCAAAATGAATGATGAATGAATGAATGAATGATGAATGAATGAATGAATGAATAAAAATAAGAATTTTAAAGGCAGTTTTCTTCTTAATCTGTCCTACAGATCTATCAACTTTGTTCTGACAGTTAAATCAAAACTAGACTGTACAAAAAAAACGACACACAGCACACCGGTGACTGTGGGCTGAATGGATTATACACAACATCTGGAGTACAGGCCTGATACTGTTTTGATTTTTAATTTTCTTTACATGTATATTAAGTGTTTTACCTACATGTATGTACATGTTCTGTCTGTGTGTGAGAGAGAGGGGTCAGGGGGAAAGGCCTACAGTGATCCCAGCTGGTTCTGGATACCCTGGAACTGGTTGTGAGCCACTATGTAGGTGCTAGGAACCAAACTGGAGTCCTATCCCAGGGCAGCAAGACCTCACAACTGTTGAACCATCTCTCTTGTCCCCAATTCTGTTTCTAAATGCTTGTGTGCTAAATAGTGTCATGAGGAGCTGGATACATTTGCTGGACAACAGGAAAGCCTTGAAAAGCACCCCTGTGAACACTGCAGGTGCAGGCTAGAGGCAGGGGGACAGTGAATTCTGGGCTAAATCAGGCTGCGTGCGTAATGAGAATCTGTCCCAAAAACCACCGAGGTGAATTCAGACACCTGCTACTACACAGGTGAACCTTGAAGACACTTGAGCAAAGTGAAATTAGCCTATCACAAAAGGACAGACATTAACTGACTTATCCTAAGGGGGCATTGCTTAGCTGCATACAGTGTCTCCACAGGAGACAGATGGTAGTGATGGACCTGATGCCCCCTGTGCCTCTAAAGATAGAAAACTGTATTTTTAATGCCTGGTGAATAAAAAAGTCAGGTATTTAGAAGACTCTTAAATTGTCTTGAAAAGCAACAGTTTAAGAAAATTGACTGTGATACAGTTCCAGTTCCCAGTGCCTTCAACCTGCGCCATGCCTTGGTTGCTACAAAGTAACCCATTTCCTTTCCTGTCCCTCTTCTTTCTGAATTTCTGCCACAGCTGTTCCAAGCAGTCACCATCTTGTCAAGTCCTCTAGCCAAGCTGTACCATTCCTTTACATTTCAAACCTCCAACGGTTCCCCACAGCCCATGCAGGGCCCTCACCACCCCCATGAGCCTCAAAAGCCCTTTCTTAAGTCCCTGTCTCTATAGTTTGCCGCACAGTGCCTTGGAAACGGTACCTTGGAAATGCTTCCTTGTTCTTCCCCAAGGTGAAGAGCATCGACTTCTCTGAAGGACTGCAGACAGTCCTCAGACCGCCCAGACCACACAGGCAAGTGAACTGTAAAGTCCCTGGCCAGCCTGGGCTTGAGATACTGTGTTCGCCACATTACACTACACTGCATCTGGTTTCTGGTTCCTGACCCACCCCTGACATATCCTCAGCAGAACACCTCAAATAAGCAGCTCTGTGTCACTCATCTTCAGCTATCCCTAAGATACCTCCCATAATGCACAGTCCACCTCTCTAGCCACAGACAGGCAGCCTTCGGTGCTGCTGCTGCTGGCAGTATGCACTTGGAGGGAAGAGCAGGCATACACTCCATCACTATTAAATGGAGGGCTTCTCAAATGAGCCTGACTCACCCTTTTCTTCTAAGGAACTACCAGTTTGGATAACAAACTTGCAAATGAAATGTCAGTAACATGTGTCCTGGAAGTCTAGTGATAGAGAAGTGTCCAGAACATTCTGGAATCAGAGGAGCTTGGAGGATGACAATATTTCCTGAGTGTGTGGGAAACTTGGAATGGAGTTAAATGACCTAAGAAGTTTCTAGATCTGCTGATATCCGCAAGAGAATATATAGAAAGAGGGGCAAACAGGATGGGTAAGAACCAGGAAAACGGAGGAAAAAAACAAACAAAAACTAGAGCCAATTAACTAGATGTTCTGTCAACTGCCAAGTACAATGGTGAAAGCCAGGATGCCATGTTTGTGAATCTCTCTAGCCCTGAAATGCAAAAATGAAAATGTAGTGATCTCCTGAGACACATTCTTAATCCTTTCTTTTCTATGTAAGGAAAACTAAGAACCACCTATAGTTTGGAGTCAATGCAGGTTGGCAGCCTGCAACCCTTGCCATACGCCTTCTGCCCGCACCATCTTGGTTACAAATAGATCTCTCGGTCCTAGATCTCTGGTGTCTCTTCTCACACTCCTCATCCTTTTCATCTCTTCCCGTGCTCACACCCTACACATTCTGCAGAGCCAGACTACTTCACGTGAGGCTGTCCCACTGACTTAAAGATGATACTGACCACAATCAAACTTTTTTTTGGTACTAAAAGGAACTTAACCGGCAATAGTTCCTTTATCACAGCGTAAGTTATAAAGACTGCTGTTTAGGAGCGGTGTTGTACATCTGTAAAGCTAGCTCTGGGGAAATCGAAACAGGAGGATGAAGTTCAACAAGGCCAGCCTCTGTTACACAGTAAGTTCAGGCCAGCTTGGGCTACGTAATATCCTATCTCAAAACAAAACAACAGCAATAACATAAAAAAAATCTTTAATTTGATACTAAGTAATTGTTTCCATTTTGATTTAGTTTCTGTAAGTATTTAGTAGAACTAAGTATTTTTCTTGAAAGAAAAACTAGAAAATAATCACTATATCACATGGTGGAGGAAATGCACACACAAGTTAGGGGGGACCTTGATGTTTCATTTATAATAGTCCTTGATTCGTTTAACCTTAAATCTTTATTGAAATCTTAGAATATGCTATGTTCCACTGGGAGACTTACAAACTATTTTCCTAATGTGAAAACTGATTATGTGTCATATAGATAGATATACAGGCATGGAAGAATATCATACGTGATACTCAATTACCATTTTAATTGTATTTGTTATGTTTATACAATTTATATTCCAAGTTTAGTTAACAAGAACAGTAAGAGAATCATGCTTAATGTGGGAGATAAAAAAGAAAGGACTCTCTTAAAAAGCAAAACCAGCAGGCAGGGAGGAGCGGAACAGGGGCTGGTGAGATGGCTAAGAGGTGTCTGCCTCGAAGCCTGGGAATGATCTGACTCACTCAGGAGGAGGATTGAACCAACAGGCACAAGTTGTACTGACTCCCGAGTGTGTGCTGTGGTACACATACTTGTTCATGCACACACATTTCAAGGTCAGCTAGAAACGGGGGGGGGGGCAGCTAAGAAGATAAACAGATTTCACTTACAGTTAAAGATTCCCGAAAATGAGGCAAAAGTCCTCCAGTAGAGGGCACCATCCTTGGGATGCATGGTGGTTCTAAGAGGAATCAAGAAGACAGTGTCAACATCAAAGAAAGGAACTTCTGTAATGCCAGCCACTCTTCCTCCCAATCCTGAGCATTTAAAAAGCCATCAATGTAGATGCTTTAGTCCAATTTCCAAAACTGTTTTATACCAGTTAAAAACTGCTTTCTCCCACACAGTCTTGCAGGCAAACACATTCATTTTGAACACAGACCTCTTCAAACCTCAACACCTGAGGGCTCTGGATCATTCCAGAGTCTCTCCTTCCTGCCAGGAACATAGCCGGTCCTCCCTTCCCCGCCATGCTGCAGATCTGGCTCACTTCTCTAGTCCTGCTCCAAACCACAACACAGGCGCAGGCCCTGGCCTGCCAGGCTCTGTTTGCTCTAAGTTTTCAGCCCTTGACAGTGTAACTATCACTGCTAGGCCTCTCTGATGAGAGGTTTCAAACTGGGTCCTGGCTGTGAAGTTTGGACTCCTAGGGACTTGCCCACTGAATCCTTAGAACCAAACCAGCTTCCTTTTCCCTCAGAGCTTGCTTCTTTTCTCTTCCCACTTCTGACATGCCTGGTCTCTCTTCCTTATCACTTGCTCATCATTCCGCTGCCTCCACACTCCCACCTGCTCTACCTCCCCCCTCTTGGTGCCCTCGACTAAATCTATCCTCACTAGATGGCTTGATGACTGCACGGGGTAGATCTCACTTCAAATCTATATTCAACACTACAGGCAGCTCGATCTTCCATAGATACCACAGTGGGGTGGGTGGGAGAGAAGCACATTTTTTTCCTTTTGAAAATGTTAGCATCCCTCCTCTTCAGAACAGACAGGACACTGTGTAGGTTTCACAATCTGTTCCCAGATTCTTCGACATTCCCCTTGAAAACATGAAACTTAGCTCCCCTGCTCTTGAATGTGGGTTGAGCCTACAGCTTGTTTCTAGAGAATAGACTCTGGAGAAAAAGACAATGAATGGCTTCCAAAAGGAAAGTCAAAGGATACTGAGGCACCTGCCTTGGTTCCCTGATCACTTGATCTGGAGGTGAAGCTGCCAGTCTTATGGACACTCTACTCTGTGGAGAGACTCACGGGGAGAACTGAGATCTCCAGAAGCCAACAGCACCGGAAAGTATACCACCTTGGAAGAGGACTGGAACCTAATACTTTGACTTTAATACAAAACAAAACCCCAATCCTGAACCCCAACCCAAGCATTCAAGTAGAGAAAACCAGTTTTTGCTGTTGACACCAATCTCTGGATTTGAGGGTGATGTGTACCTTGCTAGCAAGAGATCAAACCTCCAGTGTTTCTTTGGGCCTCATCTTAAAGTCATCCATCACCTGCTTTCTTTTCCTTATTTTTTGCATACAGATGCCATTTTAGTCTAAGCCATTACTGCTACTGGCAAAGTAAGGTCAACCTAACCCATGCCATTAGCACACCAAACCACTTTCAGCACTTTCTTTTTGGGGGAGGGGTGGATATTAAAACAAGGTCTCACTATGTAGCCCTAGGCTGACCTAGAACTTGCTGTTCAGTCCAAGTTGGCTTCAAATTCACTGAGATCCACCTGCTCCTGTCCCTTGTGTGCTAGGATTGAAGATGTGTCTCACTAGACCCAGTGACTCATTCTTTTAGGCTCAATTCAAGTTCTACATACATGGGAACTTTACATACTTTCTAATGTATGTATCATTTCTAAGACTGTGTTGTAGTTATTCAAGGCAAACACTGTGACTTCTGCCACTTCATTACTTGTAGTACTCTGGTTCTGAACCCAGGGCCCCCCACACACACACTAGGCAAGCACTGAGTTACTAAGTAGCATAGCATCCCCAGCCGCTTCCACCTTATATAACCCATGGTCATGAACACACACAACTTTTAGGGCAGGAATATTGTTCATGGTTTTTTTTTTTCCTTTAAAAAAAGTCTGGAGAGCTGGTAACAAGGTACATATGCAATAAAGTTTGCATGCCTCTGTCAAATGGTTTGAGAGGATAACTTGGCAGCATTTATTACCTCCACAATCCAGATGGTTGATGAATAAGTAATTCCAATTCTAGCAGCTTAGAAGAGGGAAAAATTAAAAGTAACAAGCATACATCAACAGAGGCAGAGCTAAATTAAATTAGGACATGGCAGACTACTCTGGATCCATTTTACAAAATAAAATAGGTCAACATGTACTGACCTGCTCAACAGAATATCAAGTGGAAAAAAATGCAAGTTTCATAATAAGAAATGTGTAAAACCCATCAGAGGAAAACTTTAAAACATCTCAAAAGAGGAACAAATGAAAACTCAACCAAATAACTCCCTTTATATTTTCTGATATAGAACAAGTTAATACCATTAAAATGTCAGTTCATTGTAAGTAAATTCATAAAATCCATGTAAGTTCCACAAATATACCAAATTTTAAGTGGACGACTGATAAGAGAATTTCATATTAAAAAATAAATGGGAAGAACAGTCAGGAAAACTCTCAGATACTAGAGGGGAGGATGGCATGTTCTTCCAGAGGATATATTCTAACATAAAGCCTACATGATGGATGGACAGACAGACCAAGGAATTCACACACCAAAGTAAAGAGCAGGCTCAAGGAGCTTTGTGCAAACTAAGGAGACACTTGGAAAAGCACTTGACAAGAAACGGTGTTAAAGCAACTGCAGAGCCATTTACAGAGAGAGAAACTTAGATCTGCACCTCAGACCACACACAAGAATAAGCTGTGCAAGTCCAAGAGTGGGGGCTGGCATGTCCTCTAACACTGATGTGGGACAGGCGAACTAGGACTCAGTAAAAAAGACTCATCAGTTTGACTACAGATTATTTTTCAAACTTGAGAAGCTAGTGTGGTGACTCACAGCTGTCGTCGCAGTACTTGGAAGACTGAGGTAGGAGGATTGCCAGAAGCTGAGGACAGTCTGGGCTCCATAGTCCAGCCAGGACTAGACTGAGACTCTGTTTGAAAAGCAAACAAACAAAAAAAGAATCCATCAATCAAAAAAAGAAAAAAACTTAGTATGGCCAAAACCAAAACCAAAAAATTTTAAATTCTACTTATAAATAATAATATAGTAATAAAAATCTGAGATTCTTTCATGAACTTGCTTTTTATTAGAAAAATGGAGGAAAAACTGACAGACAAGGCAGACATACAGAGAGAAAAGCTGACCTTAACCATGGTATCAAGGTTAACCTTATGGGGTGACACCATATTCCTCCAGTGTGATGTTGTGAGGATAGAGTGTCTGAAGGGTGACACGTCTACAAAAGCACAAAACCTGAAGATCACAGGAGGAAACATCAAACAAACCAAATGGAAGGACCTTCTTCATAGTGAGTGACCAGTATTCTTCAAACATGGCAATGACAGTAAACACACTGGAACAGGAGGGTAAGGCAGAGGGAGGGGTTGCAGGAGAGGTGTCTAACCCAAAGGATGTTTCAAAAAGCATATGAAACCATGAATTTAACTAGAGTCACTCTACTCTGGGGATCATGTTTATCTCAAGAGACACAGGATGCCTAACAAAAAGCCCGGTGCTGAGGTGTGGGACACCTCCCCACAAATTTGTGGTTGGAGATGTTCTGGAAATCCCCAAAACAGTACATACTATTATCACTGCTGCTCTTGGTTGCCTAACAAAACTTCAAGGTAAGGCCTCACTGTTGAAGATCACTGCTGAAGGTACCACATACACTAGTCATAGGGTATGGAGAAACCAAGTGGATACTGACCAGGAAACGTCCTACCGCTAACACTAATTAAGACAGTAACAGGGTGTTATGCAAACTGCCAGGGGTGAAAGCCATCAATGGTCTTACCCAGCTGTGACTCCTATGACATACAGGAAAAATTGACACTTCAAATAATGCCTATGGATGCAACAGTGGCACAAACATTAGGGAGGTCACCAACTGCTTTCTGATTGCATTTAAAGTCCACACCACAGAAGGTACATACCTGGTAACTATAAATCTAGCCAAAAGGCCAAGATTAGAGAGCTCACAGGCCCTGGGGGTGAGCCTACTGTTATTACTTTGGTAAATGGGCAGGGTCTAAAACTGCACTGGGACTTACCTGCTTGCGGGTTAGTCTGCTTATAAGCTTATAGCAGCTTCGAGAAGCTATGGACAGTTGAAGGCTTCTGGGGAAGGGAGAATCAGTTTCCTTAAAAGGAGTAGCTCTTCACAGGTCAACTGCAATCCAGATGGCCCCACAGCCAGAATGTCAAAGGGTTTTTGAATTAACCCAAAAAGTGAGCAGGGTGTAGGGAAGTGTGAATGCATGTGGGAGAAGGTGAGGTGAACAACTGGGGATGGATATGATCAAATTTCACTGCATGAAATTATTTTATACACACACACATGCCCCTACACCTGGTGGATATCCACATCTGCTGTATTTTCCAACTTAATTGTGTGTTTTTGGTTTTTAGTGAGAGCCAGAGAACGGGGAGATATGCAGCAAAAAGGTCTTCTGAATCTGACATGGGCACTGCACTCACGCACTCGCTGAAGCTGTGGCTGCTTATACAAAACCCACAAAGATCAATACTCTATCATGGCTAGAGGAGGGTTCCACAACAGACCACCACAGAGCTCCTCTCCTTCTGTCTTTGTCAGCACAGTGCCTACAGGGCACTGGGAGTAACTGAACAGTGACCCTGGCCTTCAAGAGTAGAGGGACTTAAGAATTAATCATTAACTTTAACATGAAAACAGAAAAATCTAGCTAAGTTAATTCTGATAATGTTAGTTCCTCTTTTATGCAACATGTCTCAAAGTGTTAATAAAGGGGGACTGGAGAGATGGCTCAGCGGTTAAAAGCACTATTCCAGAGGTCCTGAGTTCAATTCCCAGCAACCACATGGTGGCTCACAACCATCTATAAGAGGATCTGATGCCCTCTTCTGGACTCCAGATGTATATGCAGCAAAGCACTAGTACATTAATTTAAAAAAAAGTATTAATAAAGGAGAGTGTTAATAAAGACTGAA